GAGGCATAACACATATAAGGCTTTTCTTACCCCAGGGCTTCCACAAGCTGCAGCACAGTCCAGCTTCCATCTTTCACCCCTGGAGAAAGGAGGTAAAAAAAAGAGTGAACCAAAGAGACTCCCAGAGCGTGGGTCAGGCACGGCGCTGGAGAGAGATGCTGGGAAGGGTCCCGGCACCAGAGTGGGAAAGGATGGCTGGGTGCTGACACCTCACTAAGCACCAGGGGAGCCACGTGCACTTCGTTGGTTGGAGCTGCCTCCAGCCCTGCCTGCGAACACATCTGGGACCGAGAGCTGCCTTGACTGGATCAGAGCTGAGAGCAGGCAGCAATGAACTTGCCTGCACTTTGCCTCTGCCCTCTCCCAGCAGCCTGGCCACGTCCGTGACTGACACGTGGCTCCAGAGAGAAGGAGCCTTGCTGTGCTCTGCTTTGCTGAGACACCAAAACGCACTTCTCTAATGGGAGTGAGCTGGGAGGAGACAGGGTAGCTCCTCAGGTGCTTCCTGAGGGAGAACTGGCAGAGCAAACAGCCCAGACACCAGTGATCAGCCAGCTTCCCACCTTGGCTCCGCCGCCTCCACACTGTGCCGAGCAAGAGCTGCAGAAATGCCCTGCAAGATGGAGGGCAGGGGGAAAGGAGGCTTCGTGGTCAGAGGAAGACGAAGCGTTGGGACTCCTGGAGTCTATTTCCAGCCCTGACTCAGACACCCCACCAGGTTGCCTCACTCACCTCCTGCCTCAATATTCTTGCAACTCAACTGGGGGAAGAGTCAGGAGGCTTTGGTAAAGACCTGCTGCATCCTACGAAAGCCTTGGCAGAAGGGCAGGTTCTCCACTCCCGCCACCCACCGCCAGCCTGACGCCTTCCCAGTAGGGAAGTTCTTTGCGTGCCCTGTGGTCGGACACAGGGAGGGGGAAAGGGGCTGCCTTACCTTCAGCCCTCTAACCTGTAGCTCAGGTGGCAAGGGACATCGCTGGGAAACAAGCAGCACCCCTCACTCTCTACCTGGACTAAACAGCTTTCTGGCACAAAAAAAAGCACCTTCCAGTCACCGAGACTCACTGTCTTTGCCCAGGAGCACTTCTGGGCACCCCAGAAGGTCCTGTTGATCCCTCTGCCCCGATGAAGTCTTGCCTACACATGACAAGGCACCCACCCCCTCAGAAGCCGAAAGGTTTCATTTGGGGCTTTCCCAGGCCTTGTCTCAGCTCGTGTCTCCTGCTGTTGCAAGCATTTACTGGCTCTTCCTAAGCAGTTATTTCCAGTATTAAGTCACACTGTTCATCAGAGAAGGGTCCCTGGGGATGGGAGAAGGGTTAACAGTGTTTGCTGACAGCAGGCAGCCCCAGCTCCAGAGACAGAGCTTCCAATCCTGCCTGGAACAGCATGGACTGAGGGACAGAAGAGATAAGGGGAGCTGTGAGGAAGAGGAGGAACCCAGCAGGTCACAGGGTCGGACAGACACAGACTGAACAGGGGGTGCATCTGAGCCATGAGGTGCCAGAAAATTTATTGCTGTGCACCAGGACGAAGCAGAGCAGGTTGCTGGGAGAGCCTGTACAACCCCTTCCCACCCAGCACCCCAACATCCTGCTCCACAAGCTCATGAAAAGCTCTGGTGCCTCCGAATCACCACGGAGAAGGTCTGAGACAGAGGCTGTCTCTGCAGCCAAGCCTCTCCTCCGCGTTTTCAGAGCTGAAAGCAGCATCTACCCAAAGCTGCTGGTTTCCTCATCAACAGGAAGGAGCCGAGGTGCGCTGATGAAACCACAGCCGGCTATTGATGGCTCCTCGTGGTTACCAGCCCCTTCACTCTGCTGCAGCGAGAGAACTCGCCCTGCTCGTGGGGACCCGGGGGTGCGACCGGCTTCACCTCGCGTGGACTCACCACGCCAGCCCTGACAGCACGACCCACGCGTCATGCCCGGGCCCGGCAGAGCTGCACGGGCCGTGGTGTAAGTGCAAGCACAGCTATAATTGGACCCAGGTGCTTCATCAGCATGGCAGGCACAGCGGTGAGCCCGTGAAACTTCTGCCTCCACATCTGGCAGCAGCACGTCCCCAAGGTTAATTACGCACCTTGAACACCAGCATTCCCTTTGCCAGGAGGGGCTGCCCTCCTAACACTGGTGTTCCTGTAGTCCCAGAGCCTAAACAGAAGCAAACTATTTACCCTTTGCAGCATTATTAGTCGGGATCAATCTGCTCCCTTTCCTGCCGCGTGTCTCCCTTTCAGGCAGTGTCCTAGTCCCTCATCCCTCCTGCAGGTTTTCCATCCTTGTCTCCCCCACAACCCCAAAATCTGAGCACAGCATTGCATGATGGATTTCTGGGACAGCAAGATCCTTCTCTCCGCATCTTTTAATACAAAACAGGTTCAGCCTCCGTCCGCCGCCCACCGAGCCGTGCAGCCCAAGCTGCCCATGACAGCACCAAGGCCTCTCCTCCGCTTGCCAAAGTCACCCTCCATTTAGTGCTCAGCCACACACGGGAGAAGCTCAGTGTGCGCCTTCCAACAATTACACAACAGCCACAAGGTTAGAAAAAAAACCCCTCCCCTTTCGCTCCAGGATAAGTGATGCAACTTAATGCTTTCTGATGGGTGATTCCACAGGAGGTCGGAGGGGCCAAAGGACACTTGCTGGCTCCCTCGCTTGTCAAGGAAGGTTTGTCACCGATGCCATAGGGCTGAGGAGAGCTGAGGGCAGGGGGGAGACAGGGGTCACTTTGTATGTCTTTGAAGAGAGAAAGCTTTCTCTGGGCACTTCTGTAACGTGCCCACAGATGACAACAGCCCTTGTGAGGTTATCCTTCCCCGTGCCTGTCCCAAACGTGCTGGAGTCTTTGGGCAACTCTTCTGCAACATCTTGAATGTCACAGGGTTTAGTGAATTTCTCCGAATTTCCTTCGCATTTTCTTCACTCCGTGTCACACGGCCCACCAGGTCACCTTCCTGTTTTGCCAGCTCATCTCATCACTGAGACACCATGGGTCAGTTCACAATCTACCAGTCTTGGGAGAGGTCTGTGTAACAGAACCTACGCAGTCCTTGTCTGCTCCCTCGATCCCTTCCCAAAATGCACTGAAGCCGCTGCCTAGAAACGCCAACAGGCCACCTTGTCCTTAGAAAGCCACCTTCCTGAAGCTGCAAATTCCCTAACGCAGCAGTGTCACCAAAGAGCTGCTCCCAGCAGAAAGACAAATGACCCAAGGGAAGCAAAGGCCTCAAGCCCTGCCAGAAGAGGAGGAGGAACCAGAGTGTGGAGGCCAGGTCGGGCTGGGCCGGGCCCGGGCTCCAGGAGCCAGCATGTCCGTCACCTCCCACCGCTCCTCGGCAAGGCCGGGGGTCCCCTTCCCACTGGTGCCTTCTCTGCCCCCAGTCACCACCAGTCTCACCCGGTGCCCCCTCCTCGGCAAGGCCGGGGGTCCCCTTCCCACCGGTGCCTTCTCTGCCCCCCAGTCACCACCAGCCTCACCCGGTGCCCCCCACAGCGGCTCCTGCTGCACCCCAAACCTCCGCTGCCTTGTGCTCCCCACGGCTCACACGCCCCACACTGCATCCCCCCATTCCCAGGCCTTGTGCTCCCCACGGCTCACACGCCCCCCGTTCCTGGCCAGCCCCCGCAGACCCGACACCTTCCACCCCACTCCATGCTCTACATCCGTCACCTAAACCCCCACCCCACAACTCTGCCTTCGCCCCAGCTCCCAACAGCCCCACAGCCACCCCTAGAGCCCCTCTCCCCACCCCCTGCCCCACACCTACCCCACAGCCTCAGCCCCCCTTTCAATGCCCGGCTCACCGCTGCAGGACCCACCCATTCCCCATCCCTTGCCCCACACCGCAGCCCCATGCCCCAGCCCCACAACCCATGGCCATGTTCTCCCACGTCCCCATGCCCTCCCATGCCCTGGCCCAGGTGTCACTGCTGCAGGACTCACCCATTCCCCCATTCCCCTGCCCCACACCGCAGCCCCATGCCCCAGCCCCACAACCCATGGCCATGTTCTCCCACGTCCCCACGCCCTCCCATGCCCTGCTCCACAGTCGGGCCTGTGCCAAGCCCCACATCCAGGCCCATATCCCCATAGCCAACCCCACATCCCCACAGCCTCCCCGACATCCAGGCCCACATCCCTACAGCTTACCCCACATCCCTACAGCCTGCTCTGCATCCAGGCCTACATCCCTACAGCCAACCCCACAGCCTGCCCTACATCCCTATAGCCTGCTCCACATCCAGCCCCACATCCCTACAGTCAACCCCACATCAGCCCCACATCCCCACAGCCTGCTCCACATCCAGCCCCACATCCCTACAGTCAACCCCACATCCCCACAGCCTGTCCCACATCCAGGCCCACTTCCCTTCAGCCTGCCCCACGTCCCCGCAGCCAACCCCACATCCAGGCCCACATGGCTACAGCCTGCCCCACATCCCTACAGCCTGCCCTACATCCAACCCCACATCCCTACAGCCTGCTCCACATCCAGACCCATATCCCTACAGACAACC